TGATGGATCTCCCAGTTCTCGATGTTGCAGTGGTCCGTTGGTGCGTTTCTTCTTATATACGCAGAATTTCAGGTTGCGTATGTAGCGAAGAACATAAGCTGTGCAGCGAAGCATTTTCTGCCAATCAGAGAAACGATATGAAACAGCAAATGTGGACGTAGCTCTTCAGAATTGCCTCCGATACGATTATTGGAGATGGGCCACTGCTTCGACGGTTTCCACAGGAGTTCTGGTCCACGAAACCAACGACTGGAAGCGGACAAGTCGGAATTGTGTTTCCACTTCGTTCCTTCATCCGCTACATTCTGCTTACTCGGTACCCAATTCCATTCTCGTACATCCGACGTTTCGAGAATCTCACTAACTCTAAAGGCCACAAACTGACTATAACGACGGTGATCGGAGTTCAATCAGCAAAGTACGTCCTTGGAATCTGTCAAAAAAAAAAACCGTTGCTTCACCTTGATCAATAGCGATTGTAACAGTGTGTCTGCTAGCCGAACACCAATGATAGCAGTTTGAAGTTCAGAGCGAGGGATGGATAGAAACTTGAGAGGCGATACTCTAGTCTTGGATCCAACTAGTGCACTAGTCAACACTGCAGGCAGCGACGCTAATAAATCCGGGCCCTTCAGTAGTACGGAATTCAACGATACTCCATGGGCGGTTTCGAGCCGTGTTTTTCCAGGTTTGTTTGGGTTTACCACCGGGAACATCGGAAGGTACCAGACACGTGGATATTCCGCTTGAACCTCCTCATCGGTCAACTTTCGGATGTAACCTGTCGCGATGTGGTCTGCAATCTTCACCTTAACTGCTTCTGCTAATACTGGGTCATGTTTCATCCTCCGTGGTGGTGTAGATATGTACAACCACTCGTTCCGCAAGGTTTCTGTTGTCTGCACGACCCATTTCTCCACAGTGCCGAAAAACAGCAAACCAACAATTCTTCAACTGGAGTAACTGCTACTACATCAGAGGGAACATCGCAGCAGAGCTGTAACATCCATCAAGGTCAGTCAAAAGTTTTGTTCCGAATCCGAATCGTCTCTACGGACCGTCGAAAACAGTGCACGCTTACGCATTTATCGATGACGGTTCTGAACTTTCCCTAATGGATCAAAGGAATTCTAATTGTCACTGTTGAGAACAAACTCGTGCGTGATTTCGACGACTATCCTGCTACGGTTTCTTAGGACTTCCGTAAAGCTGACCATCATAGACGTATTGTCTAGCATGGTATGGGAGAACATCCTTGATCCAAATGACGTTGAGGCTGCAGCGCAAACCTTTTCACATATCTTGGCATATGTCATTGACAGACACGTCCCGAAAAGAACTCACCACAAAGTGTCTCGCCCTCCCTACGTAGGTTGAAGTCAATCAAGAGAGCAGCATTGAGAAGATTTACGAAGTATCGCTCGCTTCCTCTGAAACTACATTATGTGAGGCTGAATCACATGTTCCAGCGAGTCAGTCGTGAATGCTTTTCAAGTTTCCAACGAGGCATCCAGCACAAACTTAAGCTACACCCGAAATCCTTTTGGAACTACGTGAACGAGCAACGCAGGGAATCCAGCCTCCCCTCGTCTATGGAATTCAACGGAGAAGTTGCTGCCATCGTTCAGGATATATGCCGCCTTTTTACCGGCAAGTTTGCCAGTGTATTCACTAATGAGATACTAACTGAAGACCATATTAACCTGGCTGCCAGGATCGTTCCAGTAAATGATGTTAATGCTGAAATGATTTCTAAGGTCGCGACTCTGCTTAAGTCATCCTTCAATCCTGAACCTGATGGAGTTCCATCTGTATTTTTGAAGAGACATATTGCTAGCTTGTTAATTCCGCTTCATCGCCTGTTCCGCATGTCTCTCTCCAGCGGCATATTTCCATCCTGCTGGAAATGTACGCACATGTTTCCCGTCCACAAAAACAGGAAGGAAACGAACTGTGGATAACTATTGCTAGCAGTATTTGATTACTGATCCACATGGGTTTACTGTCGGCCGCTCTACAACCACCAATCTGCTGTGTCTCACATCGTATATAACCGAAAGCATGTCCGATCGGGTTCAAACTGACGTTATTTATTCAGACCTATTCGCAGCATTCGATAAGTTGAACCATGCTATTGCGATTGCTAAACTCGGCAGGCTCGGTGTATGCGGTAATCTTCTGAGTTGGTTTCGATCATATCGGTCGGCAACTAAAGGTTGCCATGGGAGATTGCAGATCATCTAGCTTCTTCGCCACATCAGGTATACCTCAGGGAAGCCACATGGGACCGTTGATTTGTATACTGTACTTCAACGACGTGCATCTGGTCATCGAAGCTCCTCGGTTATCATATGCAGATGACCTCAAAATCTTCCTACAAATCTGCTCCATTGCTGACTGTCATTTTCTTCAACGTCAGCTGAATGTATTCGCTAGTTTGTGTAGTTTAAACAGAATGGTAGTGAACCCAGCAAAATGCTCCACTATTACGTTCTCTCAATTATTTAGCTATGACCTGCTTGGCTCGACAACCGAACGCGTGAATCAGGTGAAAGACTTGGGTGTGATCTTGGATTCGCAGCTAACATTCAAGCAACACATTGCATATGTTGTCGATAAGGCGTCAAGAACTTTAGTGTTCGTTTGTTCGATCGACGCTTGAGTATTGTTCAGCGGTTTGGAACCCAAACTACAACAACGGTGCCGTGAGAATTGAATCTGTTCAACGTCGCTTTCTTCGTTTTGCGTTGCGTAGATTGCCTTGGAATGATCCTCCGGACTAGAAGAGACACAAGCAGAGCCCTAACCGTGGCCGATATTCTGCAAGGAAGGACAGATTGCGAGGCTATCCTGAGGCAAATTGACCTGAAAGTTCAACAACAAGTGGTCGTCGAATACCTGAAGGATTCCAGTTCGGAATACTTCACGCATGACATCCATGGTGTGAAGCCCTTCAAGGTGGTAGTTCGGGGTCTACCAAACTTCGACCCCAAGGGAATCGAAGAAGAAATCGAAGACCGGTACAAGATGGCCCCAATCGCTGTCTTCCGGATGACGAGGAGAGACGAAAGCGTGCACTTCCAAAAAGGAAAGGTGACGCTCAATGCGCTGTAAGCCATCCGCTCGATCTACTCCATCATCGTACGATGGGAACCATACCGTGGCGTCCATCGTGACGTAACGCACTGCCAGCAGTGCCTCAATTTTGGAGACACTACCCTGCAACTGCAACATCAAGCCACGCTACAGCAACTGCGCTCAAGATGGATGCGGATGGAGCCGTGGCGTTAAAATGCCCCAACTGTGGTGGTTCTCATCAAGGTTCCGACAGACAGTGCTCCAAACGCGAGGACTTCAAACGCATCCGAAAGCAGGCGGCAAGCAACAATCAACCAGGAGGAAAGAAGGACAAAAACCCCAGCATTCAGGACGGAGGATTTCCCGCTTTTTCGTACTCCCCAGCAAAGGCAAGCAAATTCGCGGGTGAAACCCGCTCCATCTAAAGAAGCTTCCGGTGATTCTGCTGGACAAAGATCAAAGGTCAGTTCCCCCCAGCCTGTATCGTGGTAGTTAAAATCTCCTGAGATAAACCGAGCCTATGGTAAAACTAAGTAGATATATGAGAAACCTTCAAGAGAACTCGCAGTTCTCGGAGTTGAGCGCTTCCTCGGGGCTTATTACGGTTGTCACATCACGGTGAAAAGTTGTCACTTGTCGTCACGGTGAAGTGATTCCCATTTGATTTGTACGGTAATCACGGCTCTTATTCTGAGTATCACTTGCTTATCACCGTGTAGTGACACCCGTAATAAGGCCCCTCATGTTTCCTTCAAAGACAAAGGGACTCTCCTCACTGACCTATGAATCAGAGCCCTGATCATCATCTGGCAGGAGGTCTAATGTATTGTTGCTTTTTAGGGTGGTTTGGGAAGATAAGCCGGTAGTTTTCAAAATTTCTGCTAGTGAGCGTTTAGATCGAGTTTTCAAAGACCGCTTAAATTATTCTCCCTGCTGTTTGTACTTCGGGCAATCAGCCAGAACATGCGGAATTAGTTAGATTTGCAGTAAGCACATTTTTGGATAGCACTTTAAAGGACCCTTTGTAGCACCTCCTCACATTGATCGCAGCGCGGTTTGTTGGACCAAAAGTCTGCGGTGTGACCTAGTTGTTTGCATTTCAAGCAATTCATTACCCATGGTACAAACCGGCGTACAGGTAGTCCGAGGGGGGGGGGGGGGACACATCTAAATCTTAAGTCTAGATGCTTAATAAATCTCCAACTAGCGAATCAATCTTCGAAAAATCTTCTTTCATTTCTCGCATCTACTCATCTTTTTGCAGGAAATTTTCAGAATCGTCGTCAATCTTCTTTCTATCTACTCAGCGTACACGCAGCTAGCCACAGCAAAACACAATCTTTCCTGCATCGTAGATAGAGTCGTCCCCCTCGAGGTAGTCGAACCATTCCATTTGTGACGTAATCAGGTAATGCGGATTCTGAAAAGGTCACACGAAACGAGCCTGATAGGGTATACTTTCTTTCGTGCCAGTGAGTGAAACTGACTGCAGTTAAATGCAGTATAGTATCTTGACTCTTGGGTGGCAACGATTTATGAAAATGCCGAAGGATTCGGCATACAGGAAATCTTCGGAAGTACAAAACGATTTATAAATCCGAAAATTCCAATGACTAGCAAAATTATTGAATTACCTGAGAAATGATCTCAGTGTCTATACTATCATTTGGAGCTAATGTGTATCGATTATGTGACATAGGAAAGGAAGACTCTGAACACATCTAGTGCAGCAATCTTCAATAAACGGCGTATTTTTCTGAACACCGAGGGTCAATTTTACTCATCAAAACATACAATAATTAAAGTGCCATTTGAGTGAAGAACCCCAGAATGGCTCCAGTTTTGTCGTACCATCGACGCCTCGCATTGTCCATTGTGATTCCTCTGAAATTACCGAAACCCTCCGTGTTCACTCAACTCACCTGATCCTCCATCATCATCAGATTCACGCCCAAATCCTCCAGCGTGGGAACTCCCTTCTTCACATCGTCGCTGACGTACTCCCGCTCGACGCGTTCCGTGTGCAGATCACCCACCGGGAACGACGGGCAAATGAACTCAGTCAGCTTCACCTTCAGCATGAAGGTAGGATCGAAGCGCAAATCATAACGCCAGTAGCCCCACCAGTCGGCATCCTTTCGCATCTCCCGGTGGAACCAATCGACCAGCTCCGACAGCTTGTACCGACGTGGACCGACGGCCTGGTAGACTTGACCCTGGCTGTCGGGATCCTTGATCGCATTCACAATGCCCTGGGCAACGTCCGAGCAGTGAACCGGCTGCTTGACGGTCCTCTCACCGCTGTACCACAGTGGCATTCCGCGGAACTGCCGGCGCCACATGTGAGCGTAGTACCGCAAGAAACGATCCTCCTGACCGTAAATATCGGACGGGCGGAAGATGATGGCATCGGGGAATTCCTCACGAACCGCCAACTCGCCGTAGTACTTGCTCTTGAGCCACTTGCTGCCCTCCTTGGTCATAATCGGCTCCGGGTGGGGAGTGCTGTTCAAGCTGGACAAATGGATAAACTTCTCCACGCCAGCTTGCTTGGAAATGCGCGCCAACCGTCGGGCACCATCCACATGCACATCTTGGAAGCTGAAGTTCTTCGTTTCCCAATCGCGACCCACCAAATTGATCACGACGTTCGAGTGCTTCACGGCATTGTAGATCGATTTCTCGTCACACAGGTGATACGGGGTGAACAGCACCTGTCCCAGATCACCGGCTAGCTTCAAACGCAGAGCTTCGTAGTGGTCAGCACGGTAGGGAAGGATCAGCTGGGAGCCAATCTTTCCGAGCTTGTTGCACACGTAGCGACCCATGAATCCGGTGCTGCCGAACACAGTCGCAACAACGCCATTGAAACTCGATCTACCACCGGTACCGCGCTTCATTTCGGCCGGATTGGTAGTCCGGAGCTTATGTGGGGCATCCGAACTGTAGTTAGCCTTCAGGCAGATGATTCCCAGCGATCCAGTTTGCTGCTCTGGAAGTGAAAATAACGATTCCGATTAACCTAAACAAATTACATAACAAAACACAAAATTCCACTCCGGCTTCCCCATCGGAATGGGGTCCTCGGATGATGGGGTACTTACTGGCCAGCTGGGCACCGTTTACCAAAATTAGCGAAGCCATTGTGGCCCTCCGACGAGTGCACTCGGGTGACGGAAGTTTTTCGTTTTTAGCAACTTTTTGACTCTCCTTTCGTGGCCCTCTCGGTTTGGAAGGAGAAAAAATTTGTTCGTCTGTCTGGCTGCGGTTCGATGTGGTGACAGTTCGGTAGCTGTGATGGCCGTGACAGAAGCTGGTGAGATCACTTTATGCTGGGTGAGTTGGTGAGTAGTGATGCTGTCAGTTTTTTGTTGATTTTTCTGTTTGCCATAAAAATGGGATCGACCGATTAGTCCGCTCTTGAAATGTATTTAATACACTATAGAATTCCACACATTTTTATTGACGAATTTTCATGTAAAATTCCACATGATCTTCATGTGACGACACATAAACAGAATCCATCCAGAAGCACACATGAAATTTATGAGTCAAATGAATAGTATGTGTGGTTACACATGGCTTTTATGTGTACACATATTAAGTATGTGTCCGACACATAGATATCATTTGTTGATCACATTGCAAAAATTCATGTGTGGAACACATAAAAACAATATTTGAAATTTTATCAGTATAGAAGTCTCTAAAAAGTTGAAATACTGCACGTTATTCCCAACGCAAGTTGGACGAAATCATTACCAAATTACCAGATATTGACTCGATAATCCGACTGTTAAATCCATACTATACTCAGCTTAAATCCGAAAACAGCACAATGTACATTAGACTGGCCCACATTTGTATGGGGAATTTTTTTCACCGAACTGTATTGCTTGATTTGTTGTCTTCGGTTGTACGCAATGGTGACGTCGGACTACGTGGTCTTATGTAATACATGTTATTTGTTAACTGCAGCAGGACTTGTTTTTTGTGTATAGAAATAGGAATTTGAGCGGGGTTCTCTCTGTTTATAATCTCTAGTATGACTGTGATTGCCCTAAAAAGAAGCTTTTGATATGAATTTTAGTTGGGACATGACAATCTTGGTGGCCCTGAAAAGGGCCGATGGTAGTACAGGCATGAATACCATGATGATGTTGCACCTGTAGTTTTTGGCATACTTTCACTGATTGCTTCCCGGGGATCCTTGTTCAGCCATAGCAAGATGTGCGCGTGAGGACTTCCACGGTGCTGAAATTCAATCGTGTCAACCAGCTTGTTTGAAGTACACACAGCACGTGACTGGATCATCATTGACCAGAGTTGCTCTTTGTAGTGCAGTCAATTCCTGGATATGATCTGTTAAGTCATTGCCATTGTGTCCTTCTGACAACCGATGTAGGAGATTCAACAAATTGGGCCACTTCATCTCATTTGCACTAAGTGTGAGGAACATCGTAGGCTTTTCCAATTTTTGTTTGTTTTTATTATAGAGACTTTCAGCCTTAGGCTGGTTCGGGCTTTTCCAATTGTCGCATCATGGTGAACAAATATCTCTTCCTTTGTTGCCAATACTGTACTGAATTGGGAAGCTCACCGGCCCAAAAATAAAAAAATATCCAAAATCCAAGAAAATCAGTTTCTTCCTTAAATTTTTGTCAAAAATTACATGCAAAAAAATTTTTTCTATTCCATCATGAAAAAAAATTGGACTCTCAGAAAAACCGAAAAGTTGATGTTTTGTGGTTTTTTGAGTCCAACTTTATGCCATAATGACTTATAAAAAATGTTTTTGCACGTGAATTTTCTTTGAAAAATAAAAAAAATATGTGATTTTCTTAGAATTTTGATATCTTTTTCCAATATTTTTAGAAAAATCAAAACGTAATTATTTTTTTCGGAGCGGTGACCTTCCCCTTAAGATTGACACGTGTAATGTTAGCGGTTCCCGTGCACTTAAAAGTGCATTGCAAGCCTTCGGAAACTCTAAGGCAAAGAACTTTCATTGTCATATACAACAAATGGTGTGGTTTGGCCACACGCCTGTCTTGACGACGAGTTTCACTGGATGCCACTGGCGTGCAAAGGGTGGGGCAAGGTGGGCCCCTCCTTTCATAAATAAAATTTTTATTCCCACATTTACAAAATTATGATATAAAATAGCTTGATTCCTTGATAACTTGATTTGAAGGTAATATAACTTCATTTCATAATATAAGGGCACTGAAAACCTTTTACTGCGTCAATTCCTTTGAGATGGTGCCTGAAAATTGTTTCACAAAGGTGCATGAAGGGACAAACTTCAATGAATTTTTTTGGCACAGTGGTGCATACAAAACATTTTAGTGTAATTCTTTTTTTTTTTCAAGGTGGTTCATGGATGGCTAAAAGAAGAGGGTAAATTTAAGATTGATAAAATTCACCTTCGTGGTGGTAAATCGAAGAAAAAGCTTTTTATTGAATATTTCTGGTGTAAATATATCATTAAGGTGGTGCATGGAGGAACTAATCAAAATGAATAACTCTGGTGGACAAATTGAATCACGCTAAAAATTTGGATGTGCAAATTTAACTAAAAATTTCTGGTGGAAAGCTCGCAACTCTGTGGTGAATGTAGAAGCAAGGTTTATTCATTTATCTGGTGCATAATTTGCATCGTTCTGATGAATGCAAGCTTCATTGAAAATTTATGGTGGAAAATTTGAAGAGGCAAAGCCTGAAAATTGTATCACAAAGGTGCATGGTGAAACAAACTTCACTGACAAATTTTGGTGCACCAGGGTGAATGGAGGAGCAAGTTTTATTGAAAATTTCTGGTGCAAAATTTGCATCGCCATGATAAATGCAATGAACAGAAGATTTATAGTGGAAAACTTGCACTGGTAAATGAAGGCACAAGCTTTATTAAAAATGTAGCTATATTGAAAATTTCTGGTGGAAAGTCTGCACCGTTCTGGTGAACGGATGGGCAAGCTTTTCGGAAAAAATTGGGTCTTAAATTTGCATCCTTCTGCTGAAAAGAGATACAAACTTTAATAATAATTTCTGGTGTAAAATTTGCACCATTCTGATTATTGGAGGGAAGCTGATTTACTGAACATTCTCAAAATATGAAAATAGGGACAAGCTTTATTTGGTGGAAAACTTGCAACATTCTGATGATAGGAGAAGCAAGCTATATTAAAAATGTCTAGTGGAAAATGGAAAAAGGAAATCTGCACTAATCAGAAGATTGGAGAAGCAATTTTTATTGAACATTAACGGTGGAAAATTTGCATCGTTCTGGTCAGTTGAAATTTTATGGGGGCAAGTTTGTATTGATAATTTCTGGTGTAAGATTTGCACAGTTCTGATGAATGAAGGGGCAAGCTTTATTGAATAATTTCTGGTAGAAAAACTACAACGTTATGGTGAATGGACGGAAAACTTAAACTTGACTTCCGAGAAGAACCTCAAGGGTATTGAATTCTGAGGACAGTTCTAAAAGAAAAGATTTCTGGGGATGATTTCATGAAAATTCTGCGAATAATTTCTAGTGAATCCTGTAGATAGTTCTAAGATAATTTCAAAAAGAATACCGAGAGAATCAAATTTTGAATGAAATTCCAAGTGGATGTAGGGGAAAATTTCAAAGAAATTCCGAGGATAATTTCAAGCTCATTTTGGGAAAAATTTCTTGAGAATACAGAGGAAATTCTTCAGAAATTTCAGAAAATTTCAGTTCCAAGGTGTTCTGAGAAAAAAAAAAGTTCTAAAATATTCCGAAAAGAACCTCAAGGGTATTGAATTCCTAGGACAGTTCCAAAATTTTTCTGGGAAGAATTCAAAGAAAATTCTGCGGATAATTTCTATTCCATCCTGCAGATAGTTTCAAGATAATTTCGAGAAGAACTCTGAGCTAATAAAATTTTGAGTGAAATTCCAAAGGGATTTTAAGCAAAATGTCAAGCGAATTCCGAGGAAACGGGAAAGCATTTCTGAAGGAATTTCAGTTATAAGGTGTTCTGAGAAAAAAATCATGACGAGTTCTAAATATAATAGCAGTGGACTTCTGAGAAGAATTTCAGAAGAGCTATGGGGAGAGTTCTTCAAAATCCGAGAAGAACCTCAAGGATATTGAATTCTGAGGACAGTTCCAAAGGATTTCTGGGAAGTATTCCAAGAAATTTTAGCGGGTAATTTCTAGTGAATCCTGTAGATAGTTCCGAAAAGAATACCGAGAAAATTAAATTTTGAGTGAAATTCCAAAGGGATTTTGAATAAAATGGCAAAGGAGTACCGATAATTTCTAGCTCATTCCGGGAATAATGTCTGGATAATACTGAGGAAATTCTTCTGAAACTCTAAGGGAATTTCAGTTCCAAGGTGGGCTGAGTAAAAGTCAAGAAAAGTTCTAAAAATAATTCCAGAGGACTTCTGAGAAGAATTTTAAAAGTGTTCATAGAGTTCTAAAAACTTTGAAAAGAGCCTTAAGGAATTCTGAGGATGGACTTTTTCGCAACTGTACAAAGTTTAAAGACAGCTTTTTGATTCACTATTTGCAAAGAAGGTACTATTAGTTTGCCATTGAACCCTGGTAGATTGTTGTCTCACTAAAAATTCGTGTAAGAATCTTCTCTGAAAATTTCAAGTCATTTGTTACCGAGGTTAAAAATTTACAGCTGTTTATGTGCGTTGCAATAAATTCGGGTTTGTCCTTTATATCATCTCTAAAATATGTTCGGCATCATTTTCTGTCACCCCAACTGGCGGTACTTAGGGACAGGGTTGACGTGCTCAATCCTTCGCACATGTCGTCATTCCGTTAACAATCCTGTACTCGCTTGTCAAAATTGTTTTGTGCGCTTTCGTTCCAATCGTTACATATTTTTTAAACCTTTTAATGATCCTATTAGTCTTGGCATTTAGGTCAAAATTTGAAAAAATTAAAGCTCCAATTTTCGCTGGAAATGGCCAAAATAAACTGTAACGATGCCATCAAAATATACAAAAACGTACTGCACAAAATTTCAGAAAGGTAACTGAATAAAAGATGATAACAGTACCTTGAAGAATATATTTTCTTTGGTTTATATTTTTAACCTGCAAAGAAGAGCATGACGCAAAATATTATTACCGCATTTTTCTATCAAAATATTAATCGAACTGTAACTTTAACTTCCAAGAAATCTTAGAAACTTTAAAAACTATTTTAAATGATATTCTGGATTTTCAAAGCCAATTATACACAAACACATTATACTGCCGATCTTTTCGGGCGATCCAAGCTGTCCGATTCCTACAGTGTTCAGAAATTGGAAGAAAGCGACCGAGTTGCTGGACAAACACAATGGAAATGATACCCATGTTGGTAGTATGGAAGCGTGGATGAATTTCAAAACCAGAAAGGGTATCGACGAAGCACTGGACCACTAAAAAACATCTATGATTGCTGCTAGAGAGGCAAAGTGGCTACAGAATCGCTCTAAAATGGAACGTTTCATCGATATTGTGCGCATACTTTGCAAAGGTGGCCGACCACTTCGTTGACATTCGGAAGGGGTGGAAAGTGTGTCACCCAGTTGGTGGCTAACTACGATCCTGTGCTGGAAAAACACTTGGCGGAAGGTGCCTAAAATTGCCAGTACACAAGTACCGTATTCGATTACGCCGTTGCACAATGTAATGACGAACCGATCTTCATCGATTGGATTAAATGACCAATTTCCATTGGCTGTCTAAAGGTAGTTTGCATTGAAGAAGATGAACCACTACCGGAGCAAATAATAAATAAAATTAGCTAGATTGAACCGTAGGGAAATAGTGGGAGGTGGACACTATACACCACGCACTTTGTAGTACTCCCCATCCCCAGATTAAATGCACCATAGAAAAAAAAATTGCCCCTCTTTAACAAGATTTCTGTGCACGCTAGTGCTGGATGCCATCATGAAATATGTCACCCGAACCCCTAACTTGAATTTCCGTAGATGGCCGAAACATATGGCAGGAAAAGCTATCTCTTCGCCGTGCTCGTCATATATTAATGACAGATGAACCCTGTTTTGCGCGAGGGGGGCGACACATCTAAATCTCAATTCTAGATACTCAAAAAATCTCACACTAGCGAATAAATCTTCGAAAAATCTTCTTTCATTTCTCGCATCTACTTGCATCGCGCATCATCTTTTTGCAGGAAATCTTCAATATCGTGATAAATCTTCTTTCTATCTACTCAGCGTACGCGCAGCTAGCCGCAGCAAAACACAATATTTCTTGCATCGTAGATAGAGTCGTCGGTTTTGCGCGAGGTTTTGCGCGGAAGCGATCTCCAGGCATTTGTCCTCATTCCGAAGGAGCGTTTCCTGTTGCCCAAGCAGCAATTCTGTCTCTTTATCCACGACAATGGTTTCCAGCTCAATTTGAGGATCCACTGCAGGGGTTTCAAGACCATCTATGGCGATCTGATCAATTGTGATTCCGTAGCGGCGGTACAGTCATAGAGGTAACTCTAAGACCACTGGGTCCCGAAGAAAATCATTATTATTTTTGGCTCACTCAGTACCAGAACAACGGTCCCAAGCAGTCCCAAGCTATTTCACTCACCCCTGCTTGTTCTGCATGAATCCACACACCCCTGATGTTATCTGTCAAACTTTCATAGCGAATCAAAACAAACATAGTGTAGTAATAGAATTTCAACTAGAATGGGGTACGTCATAGAAGTACTTGGGACCAATAGGCTACTCAAGCAGTGAATCAATTTAAAATCGTTAGTTTCCACCCCCTGGTACAGTGGTGTCGTAATCTAATAAGAAAGCCACGTTTTAACCGTAGTTTCCTTTAAAAAGCCGGACAAGTACGACGACTTATGGATTACGTGCTTTTTGATGAACACGTTGAAGGCCTGATCATCATCAAGCTGACGGGGAAGAGAGCGTCGTCTCTCTTATACAACGCAAACGGTAGAACAACATTCGAGCAAAAAGAAAATTATCAAAAAACTATCATATGACGTATGTTCTAATTCCTCAATTTGGTGTAAATTAAACCATTTCTGATCAGATATGTTATTACTAGGATATCGTTGCTCGCTATTTTCAGAATTCACACAAGCATAACATCAGCAGCTCTTATTATGAGAAAAACTAAAATACATACATTCGTTACGGCGACAGTATCGTATTACAGAGCATGTCATATGACATTTTAGTTTGGTACTGTAATTTGATAGCTTGTTTTGCAAGTGTCGGAAGCAAAGGCAGTCGATTATCATAGAAAATGTGTCGACTACGGTGACCGCTTACAAGACTGGTCTCGACACGACTTTTATTCGCCTTCACACGGTACCGTCGAAAATTTTTCTCTTCGAGCAAAGATTGACAGTATATTATGGGAACTTTCGGCGGAGTGAAGAGACAGTACGAATGCCGCCATGTTTCACGCACAGTCTGACGTTTGCTTACGGGATATTTCATAGGAGAGAAGAGCTACAGAGTCGCCGTCAACGCCAATTTTATCAAAAAGCGAATAAGTGAGCAAGAAAACGGTTGACAAGTTGCAGGGGTGTATTTTACTTTATGCTTCTTTCCTTTCAGAATCAGATTAAAGAGCCTGAATTTATAAAGAGACGACATGTCAAAATTGGAACAATCGACTATGTGTCAAAGTCATACGAAAAGTCATTCCAATCGAGCAGAAGACCTGTCAAATGGATATGATGTCGTCTCTTTATAATTTCAGGCTCTTTAAATCAGATTATACTCTAGATTGTAAAATTCGATTCTGAAGGGAGACCTCGAGGGAGACGTATACTGAAGAAAAAATCCGTAGAAACTGTACCAAATTCCAAGTCCAAATTGCCTACGGATCCGTATTTCCGCAAAAATTGTAAAATCCCTAGATCTACGGTGATTTCCGTAGGTCTGGCATCTCTGCGAACAAGCAGGGAATCCGACGTAAACGAGACTTGACTTTAAATGATCTTTATTTCTTGTATTTGTGTGGTTTACATGTGTGAGTTATCAAGTGACACAGCCCAACTAACAATTTTAGCTGCAGACTAGCTTATACAGCTGAAAATTACCTAATGCAGCTTATTTTTGTCTGTATGCGTTTTTTCAACTTTAGTTCTTTCGAAATTTCAATTATTATTAATTACAGTTCCTAGTTCTATCAGGCCTGTTTTAGAGAATGACCACCTTGATGGGATTGGTTTGTTTTAAATTGGAAAAAGGAGACTACTTATAACTACTATTTACAACTACAACTCACCTACAACTACTATATACAAATTGCTTATCAAAGCATGTTCTGATGTATTGCATTTCTGCACAATGCTAGTCTTAAGTCAGCCATTTTAAAATCTAATTTAGGAACGATCGCCTCTATATGTATATCAAAAATTCTTGTATCGAAAGGACGATCAAGTGCCATCCTCAGCACTCTATTCTGAGTGACCTGGATTTTGTTACTGTGAGTCTGTGCACATGATTCACACACCGGAGCTGCGTAGAGGATCGCAGGTGTCATAATTTGTTTGTAGACTGCCAGTTTGTTCACGCTTGAGAGGCGGGATCTGCGGCAAATCAGTGGATGCAGACACCTAACCAAGGCAGAGCACTTGACTACGGTTTTCGAGCGGAATATAGGACCTTTTCGTCAAACAACATCGCGAGATAGGTTACTTCGGCGGACCACTCAACCCTTGTGCCATCCATGATTACAGTACAAGAGGGAGCCGGTTTTAGTTTGGGCGATTGCCGATGGAGGAACATGATTGTTTGTGTTTTGGAGGCATTTGACTCATATTTATACATGTGGCTGTATCAAAATTCCCGAAACAATCAGATCCCGAATACATACGGTCTATCACGCTTCACATTCACTCGATTCTACTCATTTCTATTCCACACTAACTATATCTACTTCAGAATCCATAGAGGAAAAAGTTTTTAGTGGCGCTGGTTGTTAACAATTTGACAAGTTTGGGCTGAGTACCTATCACTGTTTTTACCAGGGTTTTAACATGGATGTTTCATAGCCAACTAGTTTTGTTGCGGCTGCTTATAAATCAACATTGGAATTAGTTATTGGGTTTCATGAGTTAAATTCAAAGTAGCTTTATCGCACACTATAAAGCAATCATAAAACTTTTCGTAAATCAACACACTATAACAGTTGGTTTTAAAATATTATGATTCATGAGGTTTTTGTAGATAGCTTATAGTATTTTATATAACTTACTTTTTATGACAATGCGTATGACCATCATAAAAATATAGGAAATGGTTATTACTGGAATAAAACATTTATGAAATGCAAATAAAACGAAGCAGCTCTAGATTTGTTACTTGGGTTGGGTTTGTCGTCTAAATTTCATTTCTGACTCACTGTGCAAAGGGAGTACAACAGGTCGAACTTTTACCTCACATTACTCTACACCGTAGTATCTTTTATAGATAGCAAACCCAAACTACGTTTAATGAACTTTTTTTTTTCGTTAAGGTGAAAGATAATCTTTAGTGCAATCGCGTAATAAGGCTTTCAGGAGCTAATATTTAGTAGCAAGCTAGTAAATGTTCAATATAGCTTAAAAGCAATTTTTCGTAATTATGAAACTATGTGATTCTATAATGATAATTTGAAATTGTAAGGAGTAAGAATAGGTGGCAAAGTTTGTGTATGACACATACAATTTGTCAATTTTGCTTTCAGAAGGTTACAATTAGGGATTTTATGATCGCTGATGGCTCGCGCATCGCGATTATTCATCGCTACTACAGCTAATCGCTATTGCGACCCTCTGAAATATCTCTTCTTTTATTGAAAACGAATTAAAAAAAAACTAATTCCTGTCAATTAATGTTTCCAACCGACAATTACCGCAGAGAACCTTCGCGCCAAGCTCGAATTGGGGAGTGCCACATATATCAACGACGATGATTCAAACTGCGCATGCTCCTGCATGGAATCTGTCATACAGCGCCTATCTCGCGATTCCCCTTCACTGTTGTTTGTTTATTTCCAACCAAAACGAATCAAATTACATCAATCTGTTAAGAACGAAACAACATTTCGGCAAACTATCCTAAAGAATTTCCAATCTTGGAAACGATGCAGACCGGAAAATTGTGGTTGGCTCTGGTTTCGCCGGTGGTAGTTCAGCGTGTCGCATAATCTAAAGCATGTCAATCGGTTTTCCGTGAGCCATGTCCAGCTTCGAGTTCCTACCCTTCGAGGTGAGTCAATTCGATTTTTGCTCTTGGTGTTGTTGTTGTTGATCACAGCGAATTCGGTTCCATATTGTTGCAGATTTGCTGTCTGATTTTCGACTATCTGAGCGTAGGTGACTTGAAAAATGCTTCCCTCACCTGTCGACGTTGGTGCCATATCATCTTTTCGGACTACTACATCCGAAGGTTTATGCTCCGGATCAACCTGCACAGAATGGTCAAGCCGACGGGATCTCCCGTTATGTCCTCGGGACGATCACGTGTCTCCGGACCCAGTTCATTTCCCTGTTCGCTGTATCAACGGTGTCGAATGGGCAAGGGAAAATCCAAATGCGAACTTCGTCAAATGTCGATGGTCCTTCGGCGGTCCTGCCGACACTACTGTAACATTACCTTCGTTTGCGATAATCGTAGTGAATTCACGGACAACGTGTTCAACGTTATACTGAACCTGCTGAGACCTAGCGGATTGGAGCGAGTGGAGATCCTAAAAATCATCCTTTCTTCAAATTTGAATGTCCTAGTTACAATTCTGAACAGTGCAATTAGAAACATGACACGGTTGAACAGTTTCCACTTGATATACGATCCCCAGCGGAGACTACAGTGTGGCGATCAGGTGCGACCCTGTGTAGTGATTGAAAGTGAAACCATTACGCACATTGAACTGAAGTCGGTCATTCCGGAGCAGATGCGGCTCCCCAAGCTGAACTCCCTGGACGTCAGTCTACAACCAGGGATTGCCGGAATAATCGGAAGCGTAGCGCATAATCTGACAACGCTACAACTTCAGCTGGATTGCACTTCGGCGAGCTGTGGGGAAGAAGAAATCTACGCCCTCACTCTAGATCGTTTGAAAATCCTGAAACTAAGCCGAGGATTCATGAACGAGTTCAGTTTCCCCATCCAAGTGAGCTCCAATCGGCCAGGCTTGAAGCTGCGCTTCTTTCGACACCTGGACAAACTGGAGAAGCTGATTCTCGAAGAGAAATACACCGCAGAGAACATTTTCCTAGCAATCTGTGAAACTTCGCGCAATTTAGTAGAGCTCAAAATAGATCACCTTAAGGTTGTAAACTGCACCGTACTCGATAGGCTATCGCTTCTGCAAAATCTCAAAACTCTTTCGCTACCAAATATCTACTCTTCGCATGAAATCTCCTTCCACTACGTCTATCTGCCGAGGCTGGAATGCCTTCATTTGGAAGTTTTCAAAGATTCCTCGTACTCGTTCAGTAAATTCGTGAATCTAAAACGCCTTACAGTAGGATCGTACTCTTCGCATGCTTCGGAGATTATCGATATCATCTCGATGCACATTCAACGGCTGCATGAGCTGCGGTTGTACTTCTTGGACTACGCCGTCGTACCATCGCGGACGTTCCGTAAGCTGACCTACCTTGGGCAGCTACGGAAGCTGGAACTGATCAAGGGTCACCTGAGAAGGGACGTCTTCGGAAGGTGCCCGCCCGGACTGAGCGAGCTGGAGACGATCGTGTTCGACTATTGCCAGCTGGAAACGGAACAGTTCGATGGACTGAGGGACAAGTTCCCGAAACTGAAGGACGTTCGGTACGTGGATTGTCAAGTGCGGGGACGGATGCCTTACCCGGCGCTGACCCTGCACTCCTCCGACTACTGAAGTCAGTTGGGCTTAGTTTTCTCACTGAACTTTCGGCTCAAATTCCATTGAACTGTTCTGGACCGCAGTGACATTAATTGCTGTACATCTCAAGCCTGGCTAATTGGGTGGGCGACCGTTGGGTGAGCACTGTGCAGAAGTGATGATAGATTAAGGTGGATAGAATGAATTTACAGTTTTTATCGTTAATAAAGTTTTGTTGATGCAATCCGTTAGTTGAGTGGTTTGAATTTTTTGACTTTAAATGATCTTTATTTCTTGTATTTGTGTGCTGCATGCATCAAGTGGCGCAGATGCGTCTTTTCAAGTTTAGTTCATTTGAAATGTTTAATTATTTAAAGTTATTGCGGTTATTGCGATATCATCTGCGAACAGGAAGAACACGCAACCGTCTCCGCGGGGGGAATGTCCGAAGTGTAGATGCTGTAAAGCAAAGGGCCCAACAGACTTCCTTGCGCAACACCTGCTGGGATGGGAACCATACCCTGAACGACCTTTGCTGAAGGTAGTTACGGGTGATTTTAACTAGATTCAAAGGAAAGTTGAAGTTACAAAACTGGTATACAAGCCCATTGTGCCAGACATCGTCAAACACTTTCTCAATGTCTAACAATGGCTGTGGACTTGGATACAGGTTTGTTACTTCATATGTTATTTATCACCCGTACTAGCTGATGATTTGTGGAGTGCCCCTTGCTGAACCCGAGCTGTTCCGGTAGGAGAATATCGTGTTCCTCGTAAAACATGAGCAAACGATTGAGAATAAATTTCTCGAACAATTTGATCAGTGCTGAGAGGAGGCTGATCGTTGCTTGAAGCTAATGTTGGGTCCTTCCTGGGTTTACGAATAGGTATGATTTTCGCTGTCTTCCAGTTGCTTGGAAAGTACTACAGTTCCAGGCATCTGTTGAACACGGCGCCCAGCAGAGAGTGAACCTTCATGCTGAGGTTTTTCAATATTAGGTTTAATATTCCGTCGAACCCGGGGGCCTTCATGTTTTTGGTGCATTTCAGCGCTGAGCAAAGCTGTTCCACTGAGATCCTATCTTCCGGAGAGATAGCACAAGAGGAGGAATCAAGGTTGAGTACGCATTACGCAACCTGATCTTCGAGCGGACTTTGGTTGTTGGAGCCAAGCAAGTGCGATTTGGCTCACCAATCGCATTTGCTTTCATCTTTGAGTGGTGGAATGGGTTTGAGGTGCGTCTTTAGGACCTTGGTAACCTTCCAGAATGGTCTGGAGCGGTTGTCCAGATTCTGGACGAGCCGCCCAAAACTTTCGTTACGGAGTGAGAACATTCTGGAAGCAATCTCCTTGTTCTGATCGGCCATTTCACGTTTCCTCGCTAGATCTCCGGTTCTTTGGAACTGGCGTCTAAGAATATTTCTCAGGTGAATCAAGATTTGGGTTACCCCTCGCAGGCAATCATCGGACGCACGCCTCGTCAGCCACGGTTATGGCTTAGTGGAGTCCCTCCACTCGATGATGTGCCTGTCTACCACTTTACCACGTCCAAACTGGGCCCAGTTTACGCGGCGGTAGTCCTTGCGAATATTGGCGCGGTAACCATAAAGGGTGATACGGTCAAAATTTGGTCAAGGGAAAACGCGTGTAAATCGGTGAAATCGTTTATTTAAAAAATCAAATTAAATTTCTTTTTCAAGTTCAATTAGTATAAAATTCAGAAAAATATTCAGTTAGGCTTCCGCTTTTCCAAATCCGAATTTCCGGGCCTTACGCTTGACCCCTGCCATCAGATTTTGTACAGCCACCTTGTCCACCTTCTTCGCCGCAGAAAGCCAGTTTGCCTTGAACTGCTGCTCGCCCTTAGCAGTTTTTTGGTCTTCTTTAGGTTCCGCTTGACAATAGCCCAGTATTTCTCAATTGGGCGGAGCTCTGGCGTGTTGGGAGGGTTCTTGTCCTTGGGAACCACCTGCACGTTGTTGGCGGCGTACCACTCCATGGCCTTTTTACCGTAATGGCAAGATGCCAAATCCGGCCAAAACAGTACGGAACAACCGTGTTTCTTCAGGAAAGGCAGCAGACGTTTATTCAAACACTCTTTCACGTAAATTTCTTGGTTGACAGTCCCGGAAGCTATGAAAATGCTGCTTTTCAAGCCACAGGTACAGATGGCTTGCCAAACCAGATATTTCTTTGCGAACTTTGACAGTTTCATGTGCTTGAAAACATCTGCTACCTTTCCCCTTCCTTTTGCCGTATAAAACTCCTGTCCCGGAAGCTGCTTGTAGTCGGCTTTGACGTAGGTTTCGTCGTCCATTACCACGCAATCAAACTTCGTCAACATCGTCGTGTACAGCCTCCGGGATCGCGCTTTGGCCGTCGTATTTTGTTTATCATCGCGATTTGGAGTCACTACCTTCTTGTAAGTCGATAGTCCGGCTCGTTTTTTGGCTCGATGCACGGTTGTAGACGATACACCCAGCTTATTTGCGGCATCTCGGAGAGAGAGGTTAGGGTTTCGCTTGAAACTACCGGCAACTCTCTTTGTCGTCTCAGCGGCTTCCGGTTTTCGATTTCCCCCCGATCCAGACTTCCTGGCTGTCGACAAACGTTCCCCAAACACTTTAATTACATTTGTAACGGTTGATTTGGCAACTTTTAGCGATTTTGCCAACTTTGCGTGCGAGTAGCTCGGATTTTCGCGATGCGCGAGCAAAATTTTGATACGCTGCTCTTCTTGCTTGGACGGCATTTTGACAACTGAAGAGTGAATTCCAAAATCAAAATAGGAGCAACATTCTACACACACACACCTTCAAAATGAGGGGTGTTCAGGTTTTTTAAATGCAAAATTGAAAGAAATACGTCAAGTTGATATTGACCAAATTTTGACCGTATCACCCTTTAGAACGGTGATATAGGATATGCTTCACCAAATCCGAGTGTCTGTTCACCATGGAGGTGCGGCTCAAAACGGCGTCTGTTTTCCATATTAGGAGCGGCTGATCGTGTAAGCGTGGGAGCTGTGCACGATGGTCCCCTGGCGATACAGGGGGTTGGGGCAGGCCCAATCAAACCGCCCTGGAAAAAATATAAAGTTGCAAATACCGAAGAAAAAAATACGGGTCGGAACAATCGACACATACCTACGCGATGAAATAAGGACTACGATTGGAAACTCGGAACATGGAACTGCAAATCGGTCGGCTTCTCGGGCTACGATAGGTTAATCTATGACGATCTTGAACCACGCAACTTCGAAGTCGTAGCACTGCAGGAACTTTGCTGGACGGGACAAAAGGTATGGAAAAGCAGTCATCGAGCGGCTACTTTCTACCAGAGCTGTGGCACCACCAACGAGCTGGGAACCGGCGGGGTAAGATGCACCAACGCGTGATTGGTTGGCAGCCGATCAACGCGAGGATGTGCAACCCAACAAACATTGGAAGCAGAACAAGAGCTTATTCAGTCAAAAATTTGCTTCTTCAGCTAAAAAATGGCTTATTCAACCTTTAAGCAGCTCAAATTGTTTGTAGGGAAGTTGAGGATTGACGGCCGTTTCTTCAACTACAGCATCATCAACGTGCACTTCCCACTCGAAGGGAGACCCGACGACGAGAAGAGGTGTACGACGACTGTTCGCACCGGGACGTCAAAATCATCATCGGCGACATGAACGCTCAGGTAGTACGGGAGGCAATGTACAGACCGGCAATCGGGCCAAACAGCCTGCATGTCGTATCGAACGATAACGGCCAATGATGCGTGAACTTTGCAGCCTCCCGTGGTGTGGTAGTCCGAAGTAACCCCCCTTCCCCCGCAAGGATATCTACAAAGCCAACTGGAGATCACCTGACCAACACACAGAAAACCAAATCGATCACGTTCTAATCGACGGGAAATTCTTCCGCAGTGCGAACATAGATTCGGACCACTACTTAGTTGCAGTATGCATGCGCTCAAAACTCTCGACGGTGCATAACACCCGTCGAAGTCGAACGCCGCGACCCAATATTGAGCAATTACGGGACACCGATGTTGCCCAGGATTACGCGCAGCAGCTGGAAGTTGCACTACCCACGGAAGAGCAGCTTGGCGCAGCTACTCTTGAAGATGGCTGGAGGGACATCCTGTCCGCCATAGGTAGTACTGCTGCAGCGGCACTAGGTACTGTGATCCCGGACCGAAGAAATGACTGGTTTGACGGCAAATGCAAACTGTTAGTAGAGGAGAAGAATGCAGCACGGGCGAGAATGCTGCAACACCGAACGAGATTGAATGTGGAGCGATACAGACAAGCGCGGAACAGACAAAACTCAGTTTTCCGAAGGAAGAAGCGTAAGCAGGAAGACCGAGATTGCGAGGCGATGGAAAATCGGTACCGCGTAAACGACACACGGAAGATCTACGAGAAGCTTAACAGTTCGCGCAAAGGCTACGTGCCGCAAGCCGATATGTGCAAGGACTTGGATGGTAACCTTCTCACGAACGAATGGGAGGTGATTGAGAGGTGGAAGCAGTACTATGACGAGCACCTCAACGGTGATGCAGCAGAAAACGAAGATGACACGGCACCAGACCTTGAAGCACGCGCAGAAGACGACAGGCTACCGGCCCCTGATCTTCTTGAAGTTGAAGAGGAGATCGGTCGGCTGAAGAACAACAAAGCAACTGGTGTAGATCAACTATCAAGTGAGCTATTAAAATACGGTGGTGAAGCACTGGCTAGAGCGCTGCACTGGGTAATTGCCAAGATTTGGGAGGAGGAGATATTACCGGAGGAGTGGATGGAAGGTGTCGTATGCCCAATCTACAAAAAGGGCGACAAGTTGAATTGCTGCAACTATCGCGCAATCACACTGCTGAGCGCCGCCTACAAGGTACTCTCCCAAATTCTATGCCGCCACCTATCACCATATGCAAGAGAGTTCGTGGGGCAATACCAGGCGGGATTCATGGGTGCCCGCGCTACCACGGACCAAATTTTCGCGATTCGGCAGGTTCTGCAGAAATGCCGCGAATACAACGTGCCCACACACCATTTGTTCATCGATTTCAAATCCACATACGACACAATCGATCGAGATCAGCTATGGCAGATCATGCACGAGTACGGATTTCCGGATAAACTGACGCGATTGGTCAAGACGACGATGGATCGAGTGATGTGCGGTGTTCGAGTATCGGGGACACTCTCGAGTCCCTTTGAATCTCGAAGGGGGTTACGGCAGGGTGATGGACTTTCGTGTCTGCTGTTCAACATCGCG